TGAGCAACGTTTAATCTTTCTGCAAGTTGTTTTTGAGTTTGACAAGCACCTTCATTCAATAATGCTTGTAATTGTTGGTCTGCAAATTTTTTCGGTTGACCTGGGCGTTCTTTGTCTTTCACATCGAAATCATCACTTTTAAAGCATTAACCAGTGTTCACAACTATCTTGAGATGGAGCATGTTCACCATAAGCTTCCCAAAGTATACAATAACATCCAGCAGCTCTTTTCTTCAAAATAATGAATTCAAACTTCTCGCAAATGCTCTTTTTTTGGCACAAAATTCGACATGTTTAAACGTAAAAAATCTCTATGATGTTAACACCTTCAGCAAATTTGACATGAAGTTTTGAAGCTTGTTGTCAATACAACAAAATAGCATACATATCAAATCGCATATATATCAACCTATGTGTAACTCCATCTATTGAAAAAAATCCGCATTAACCGGTACACCTGGTATATATATATTAAAATGTTATCAGGATGCAGAATTCCAAATACAGGGCTTCTAATAAGACTTTTAAGCATTTTGTTAAATTGGCATTTGTTAAGAAAAGCCCACTGGTACTGGACGGTGCCTAGCAATCACACAAAGACCACCGGTAAATCTGGGGGGAAAAAGTATAGAATTGACAAGGCTGGAGAAAGTACACAGCATGCCTGCAGGGGCGAACACAGGCAGGACAAGACAGGATGCAAGAAGAGAGTGGCAGTACACAGAGTGTAGGTCTGATTTAGGATCACTAAGTGGAGTGCCTTGGGGTTCTCGAGCTAGGTCCAGATTGTTCAGCTTAAACAAAATCAGCAAAGTTTGGCTAGGTCTTCAGAAATCTTACATAAGGGGCATACAAAATGAAGACCCTGCAGTGCAAAACAAACAAACAAACAAACAAAGAAACAAACAGACTATTGTTCACAAGGACTGCTGGAGATGCCATATAAAAAACTTACATTCACTTGGAACACTGTAAGCTGGTGTCTGTGTGCACTAGGGTTTCATGGGAGTTCAGTACAAAACTTTTTAGCTACACAAAATAAATGCCAATGCTGAACATCATACACCTTTTACTTAAACTTTCAAAAATACTCCTAGATATGTTTTTGTAACCATCATAATGTCCCCAGCATGTATGATAAAAGGAAGGAAATATATAAATTATGGGTAAACTCTTTACACATTTATTTAAGGTTTAAGGTCTCTGGGTAAAGGATTGCTAATGATGTCATTCCATTGCGTTGTTACCTGAAACCTTGAATGAGGTGGGAAACATTAACTTTGATGGCATATTAATACCTTATTCATTACACATCACTGATAACATATTTAAATTAAAACACTTCATTGCCCAGTTGGTATGGCTCAGGGGTTGAGTGTTGACCTATGAACCAGGAGTCATAGTTTGATACCTGGTCAGGGCACATGTCCAGATTGCAGGCTCAATCCTCCAGTGTGGGCATTCAGGAGGCAACTGATCAATGATTCTCTCTCATCATTGATGTTTCTATCTATTCTCTCCCTCTCCCTTCTTCTCTGAAGTCAATAAAAAATATTTTTAAAAATAAATAAATAAATAAAACGTTTTATGAATGAGAATATATAAAGTCCACACATATTCTATGGAACAAGGAAAACATATGGTATGTTTTACATGAGACACGAATGTAAACACAATGGAATTGCCATGAGAGATTGTCAAACCCAAAGTCATCAGATTAGGGAGAAAGAAATTCATAGAATGCACAGAAGACAATTCGCATTACAAAGCATTACAAACCCACTGGTCAAAATACACATTACAAGCATTCACAGAAGCATCAAATGAATTGAGATTTAAATCACATTACTATTTGTGTTGCAAAAAATCACAAATACTGTCATAATAAAAAGGATACAGTGTAGGAAATTACATTTTTTCAAACATCCATGCCCTTGGTATTTTCATTCATACTAGAAAATCATATAACTTTCCTTACTGGATTCTCTAAAATAAGTATTCTGATTTAAAAGGCATATTTGAAAAGTGTTATTGACTTTATATTTGCATGGTTTCTATTCAGTATGAATTGACTAAAGTTCAGTGAGGCTTGATAAATAGTTAAAAGTTTTGCCACATTCTTTAAATTTGTATCATTTTAGTCCGGCATGAATTATGTGATATTGACTATGGTTCCAACACTGGGAAAAGGTGTTGCCAAATTCTCTACACTTGTAATGGTTCTCTCTGGTATGAATTACTTGATATTTAGTGAGGTTTGGGCAATGGTTAAAGGTTTTTCCATATTCTTTATATTTGTATTGCTCCTATCCAGTATGAATTCCCCAATATTGAAGAGCAGAGGTTAAAGGCTTTGTCACACTCTTCACATTTGTAAAGCTTCTCTCAGGTATGCAGTCTCATGTTTGGTAAGATTTGAGCGGTGGGTAAAGGCTTTGCCACATTCTCTACATTTATAAGGCTTCTCCCAAGTATGAATTTTCTAATGGTCCATGAGACTTGAAGAATTGTTAAAGGCTTAGTCACATTCTCTACATTTTAAGGCTTCTCTCCAGTATGAATTCTCTGATGTTGCATAAGTTGTGAGGGCCAGATAAAGGCTTTGCCACATTCTCTACATTTATAAGGCTTCTCTCCAGAATGAATTCTCTGGTGTTGAGTAAGATTTGAGCTCCGGATAAAGGCTTTACCACATTCTCTACACTTATAAGGCTTCTCTCCAGAATGAATTCTCTGATGTCGAGTAAGGGTTGAACACCGGTTAAAGGCAAAACCACATTCTCTACATTTATAAGGCTTCTCTCCAGAATGAATCATCTGATGTCGAGTCAGATGTGAGCTTGAGATAAAGGCTTTGCCACATTCTCCACATTTATAAGGCTTCTCTCCAGAATGAATTTTCTGATGTTGAGCAAGATTTGAGCTCTGGGTAAAAGTTTTGCCACATTCTTTACATTTATAAGGCTTCTCTCCAGAATGAATTCTCCGATGACTGGTAAGGCTCGAAGATTTGCTAAAGGCTTTGCCACATTCCCTACATTTATAAGGCTTCTCTCCAGAATGTAGTCTCTGATGACTGGTAAGGCTTGAATACCATTTATAGGCTTTGCCACATTCTCCACATTTATAAGGCTTCTCTTCGGTATCAAATGCCTGTTGTAGAATAACATGGAAATGCAATTTAGAAACATTATCACATTCTTTTTTTTTTTTTTTACTATATTTTTATTGAGTTCAGAGAGGAAGGGAGAGGGAGAGAGATAGAAATATCAATGATGAGAGAAAATCATTGATTGGCTGCCTCCTGCAAGCCCCTTACTGGGGATCAGGCTTGCAACCCAGGCATGTGCCCTTGACCAGAATCAAACCCAGGACCCTTCAGTCTGCAGGCCGAAGCTCTAACCACTGACCCAAACCAGCCAGGGCCATTATCACATTCTTTACATTTGTAAGGCTTCTCTACAATAATGATTTTCTTATGCATATAGACATTGGATAATTGACTAAAGACTCTCATACTCTGATTACACCTGAAAGGCTTCTCCCCAATATGAGTATTTTCATGTTCAGTAAGATTTAATAACGGTTTGAAAGATGTGTCACATTCACTACATTTATCTGTCTTGTCTACAGCATGAATTTTCTGAGGTATAACAATATTTGAGCTTTTATCAAAGACTTTCTGAAATTTATACATTATCTATGAAAACTAAGTTCTCTAATGGTTATTAGAATTTAACCCTTTCTTAAATTCCTAGATTTACTGCACTGACTTCTCTATTCATTATATGCACTCTAGTAATCAATGAAGATAGAAAAGCCTTTAGTTCAAGTTCTAATATCATTGCACATGTAAAGTTGTGTCCAATCACCTATTCTGATACCTATAAAGCCATAATGGTTGAATATAAAACCAAACACATTTATGAAAATTACAGCATCTGGAACAAGAAAGAATATTTTTCTGTCAAGGAATAATTCAAACTTGGTTAAGGGATTTACAAATTCAGTCACAATTTCCATCTTTGTGTTTTAAATGATGGATTTTTACAAACATTTAACTTAAATCCTACATTAAATCATCCAAAGACTTATTTACACAATGGACTAGGTGACTTCTCTGATGCTCCCAATTTCATTTCAGAAAATATGTATTTTTAAAAGGTTTCCTTTGGTGTTTGCATTCAGAATCACATTGTTCTTCCAAGGTAACTCCAAGTAAAAATTTCCAAAATCTTTTATATCCTTAACCTCTTTTGGTAGCAAGGATATTGTATGGGTAATTGTTCCAATTTGGTTATATGCATCATAACATCTTTTTTCTCTTCATTTTGCCCCAGACATTCCAAAACTTTGACTAAGTGTAAATTCTCAATGCCACACATTGTACACCTTACCTGTAGCATATTCCAATATGAATTTTCGATGCCTGGTTTTGGTAACAAGCCCTGGGTGACTTGAGAAGACATAACTGAAATATAACAAATGAATTATAACACACTACATGCAGATAAGTATTCTTCAAATGTAATGTACAGAATTAATACCTGTCAAATGACTTCAGTGAGGTGGCAGAAGAGGAATCACCTATATTTTTTCTCCATGAAGATGGAAACTTAATAACAATGACTGACCCAGTTACCTTTCAGAGTACTTAAGAGGTCAAAGACCACAGCACACCCCAGAGGGGAAAAACAGAAAAGGGTCATGTCAAAGAGGGAAGACAAGTTGCTTGTATTTGCTCCCAATTCCTGGTCACCCTTTCTGGCACACTACACAATGACTGTGGGATACCTCCCCATCCTCAGTTTCTTCGTGCACTGTATGTCCAATTCAGAATGGTCTGGATTTTTTGCAACTACCTGTGGAACTTGCTTCTGTTTTAAATGACACAGATTGCTAAGGAAATGGCAATTTACCATGAACGCATTGTGGTGGCTGCTAAGAAAGAGAGTAATTATTCAAGCACCAAAGAGACTGTTGTGCTGAAGAAAGACATCAGGATTGGGAATATCATGTGCTCTAAATAAAAGCAAAATATGTTTTAAACTGGGAAGTTACACGAAACACACCCACGCAGGCTTCTGGTCAAGATGGTGGTGTAGGTAATTGCGGCACTGGCATCCTCCCACAGCCACACTAAATAAAACAACTAAACTACAGGAAAACCATTGTTCAGAATGTCCAGAAACCTAGCTGAATGAAGTTCTACAACTAAAGACATAAAGAAGAAGCCTCAGACAGACTGGTATCAGGTGCAAAGTCACAGAACGGGCTGGGACCACATGATGGATGAAAATCACAAGAAATATTTCAGCTGCAGAGGTCACACCTGAAGAGTGAAGGGTCCCAGCCCCACAGAAGGCCCGCTCAGCCCAGGGTCCAATGCCAAGAAGAGATGTCCCCATTACTATGGCTGTAAAAACTAGGGAGGCTTGTGGCTGAGTGAGACGGAGAGCTGATGGAGTCTTAGACCAGAATCCGGCAAACTGCGGCTCACAAGCCACATGCGGCTCTTTGGCCCCTTGAGTGTGGCTCTTCCACAAAATACCACAAAATACCACAAAATACCACGTGCAGGCACGCACGTACAGTGCGATTGAAATTTTGTGGCCCATGTGCAAAGTCGGTATTTTGTGGAAGAGCCACACTCAAGGGACCAAAGAGCCACATGTGGCTCGCGAGCCACAGTTTGCCGACCACTGCGGCAGTTCCCTTTAATGGGCTCATGCTCTGACTTACTCAGACTGATGCCCTCTGAGCTCCAGAAATGGGCAGCAGCTTGGAAGGCACCGGGACACACAGGAAAGAACAACAATATCTGGCCTAAGGATGAGGCCTGGAGAAGGAGCTTTTTCCCAGACATAAGTCTTGGGAGAAGTCATTCTTCCTTTTCTAAAACCCTTCACGCACAGAGCGGGCAGACAGGCTCCATAGCTGAGTATCAACCTGGCTCAGACTTTTCACCCACCCTGAAGATTTCCTCAGACCCTGCCCCATGAACTTGCAGGCCCGCCCAATCTGTTTCAAGTGGTTTTCCATGGATCAGCCTGAATAAGCTTATGCTTCAGTCTTTACTACAATGTCTCAAAGAATCAGCATCTGGCCTCAGTGTGTCTTGTACCTCTTGCTAAGTGGCCCCAGCCCCAAAACTATATCATGTTTAATTACTGGGGTGTACACCTAAGACACATGTAATATTGATGTCAAGTGTAAATAAAATATTAAAAAATGATAGAAACACACACACACACACACACACACACACCAATTAAACTTTCCATGTCTCAAAGAATCAGCATCTGGCCTCAGTGTGTCTTGTACCTCTTGCTAAGTGGCCCCAGCCCCAAAACTATATCATGTTTAATTACTGGGGTGTACACCTAAGACACATGTAATATTGATGTCAAGTGTAAATAAAATATTAAAAAATGATAGAAACACACACACACACACACACACACACAGCAATTACACTTTCCGGAATAGGTTTGACAGGCCATTAAAAACCTACCATAGCTGACTGTTATTTGTATTCTCTTATACAAAGGAAGGCTCATAAAGAAAGGGATGACGCCTGCTTCTAATGGGCTTACATAGTAACAAAAAATCACAGGGCTTATGAAAAAACAGAAAAACAGTCCAACCAGAGGCACAAAGTAAGTCTCCATGCGTTGGTCCTAACTTAACAGCAATCTGTTAATTACCTGACAAAGAATTCAAAACAACCATCTTAAAGAGGATCAATCTGAACATAGAGGAAAAAACACAGAAAACTAAATTACCATCAAAACTATGCATGACAAAAAACTAAATTACCATTAAAACTATGCATGAAAAAAAATACAAAGGCAGAAAGTGTAAGAAAGAACCAAACAAATATTGGAAGTTGAAGTACTCAGTACCTGAATTTAAATATACAATAGAAACATCAGCAACAGACTTGGTCAAGCAGAAGGAATAATAGGACAACTTGGCCACCTATCCCCAGCGCTCCGGGGATGTGGGAACCAAATTCCAGCATCTCAACCACTTCTTTACAAACTACTTACATGAAGCAGAAAAGCGAATTGGTTTAACATAACATTCCTCACCAATGTGCAGTTTCCCAGCGTCCGCAGGAAATACAAGAGTAGCCAGGTCATGCCACCCTCATTAGGGCAGGTCTTGGGCTCTCACTGTAAATGCAAAGGAAGATCATAGGAGCACAAGGAGAACCCTTACATGATGCCAGAGAGTAAGTGTTGAAGAGGCTCTGTCCCTTGAAGACAGAAACAGAAGTAAACCTGACCCTCTCCAAAATCATTTCCCATTGAAGCCAATCTTCCCAAAACATATTTTAAAGCTTGCCTTCCTCTGTGACTTTTGACCTCTCACCTGGGTTGTCCACTACCTTCATTCCCACCTACCTGGCTGGCTGGATATTGTTTCTTTTCTCTTCAACTCCCAGGGCTCCATCATGTGCTCCAAAAAGGTGACCAGGTCTGGCTTAGACACAACAAGACCTGTTTATTAAAAAAAAAAGGAACGTGAGATTTTAATGGAGATTTTCCAATTTTCAATCCAGCCCTGGGTTCAAGTAAGAAGATAGGACATTGTAGAATATCAGAATATTTTAGAAAATTATTTCCCAAAATTTTATTTTCTGACAGCACCTTTATTATACCAGAGACAACATTTAAAGTTTCCAGATCCTGAGTTCCACTTCCATATACATCAGGAAGCCTTTCTGTTCTGCACCAGCAAAACCCCAATTGCTTTCCTTGGGAACACAGATCTGAAACTCTCATACAAAGCAGAAGCTCACCACTGACACTGTACTAATGAAGAAAACAAAACACTGCGGGTGGAGGAGAAATTCTGGAAGGAAGTGGTCCTCACCCAGGAATACCAGGTTCCTGTAGTTCTGCAACATCACATCCACGTACAGTTTCCGCTGAGCTGGGTCCAGGCACGCCCACTCCTCCTGAGAGAATTCTATGGCCACATCACTGAAGGTCAACTGACCCTGAAATTAAAGATACAAAGCAAAACAAAAATTAAAACATTACTCAAGTAAACATGGACAGAGGTCACAATGTGACCGAATAAGAACACAGAGTGAACAGAACTGGTTTTGACCTAAGAGTACCCTGAATTATCCAATAAGATCATTTTGACCTTCTCCAGTGTATTTTGAGAAAGGAGGATGACATATCATTTACAAAACCACTGTAGAGGCTTTACTTTTCTGGAAGAGAAATTTTAAACATAAAGGCATCAACACAGGCATATCCATCTTTGAGTGCTATATTTGAATCATAGAGGATCAAGTGTATATAGTTCTTAGGTAGAGAAGTCATTCTGAGTGAGCACACCAATCTAAAATATCAAAGTGCAAAACAAGGAACTGGAGATCCACAAAATTCAGACCCTGATTCAGGAGTGCTGGGGTGGGTCCTGAGTTTCCAACTCACTTAAAACTATGGACACCAATGAGTCTGCTGCATGTGCCACACCTTTAGACAGCACAGAGAAAGAAAACACAGGAAAGAAATTCGTATGCAGGACTTTGAGTGAAGTATTTACTGAATTTACAGAGCTCATACATTAGTAAGCCTAGCAATCACAATCCTTCTTTAATGATAACTATGTATTAGATATTATTCTAACACACACATATATATATATATATACATATATATATAAATTAATAAATCTCATGACAAATCAGAGAACAATGAAAATATTCTTCTTTTTGTAACAGAATATTTTGTAAACCATCCAGCAAATGGTGGAGCTTGGATGAAAACAATATACAAATGCAACCATCATAACGTTCAGTGTTGTTACTAGAGAATAGAAACAAGAAGGTAAGAAAGAGCTCAAATAATGTTAACATTTTCTGCAAAAAGACAAGACATAATAATGGAAATGATATACATATTAAATGTGACACAAATGATACATTTTCATGTCAAGAAAATTAGCCTGAACTAAAATCAAGATTAATTCCAATTGTGGTAATCTCACAAATCTCTTCATGGATGAGTCTTTGCATTTTATAAACACAAAAGAGAGGTAAACATACAATGATGTAAAATAAGGTAGAGCTATTCTTTCATACTCTTTAATTACTATTTTTGTTTTAATCTTCACCTGAGGATAATTTTCCATTGACTTTAGAGAGAGTGGAAGGGAGGGAGAGAGGAAGAGAGAGAGAGACAGAGAGAGAGAGAGAGAGAGAGAGAGAGAGAGAGAGAGAGAAACATTGATTGGTTACTTCTGGCACACACCCTTACATGGGTTGGGAATCAAACCTGGGTCATACCTGTGCATGGCAGGACACTCCAACCCACTGGTGTACACTGGCCGGGGCACCTTTTATTTCTTGGATAATTTTTATCTCTTGTGCTGATTTGTATTTTATAAATTTAATACTCTTGAACATCCATTTGATTCTTATAAACTTTTATAAAAATACAATGTAGCATTAAAGAAGAGTGTGTTTGTGATGTTTGTTGAATACAATAAACATTTACAGGTTTGAGGCCTCACTGATAAAAGCCTCTATTTGCAAAGGTAGGATTGCCAGTGAACAATAACAACAAAAAAGCCTTTATTTCTCAAAGCAACCTACAAATAAAGAGAAACTGAAAAGAGAAAAAGGTTCCAGATGAAATGTGATTGCTTATGTGTAACTCTCAAAAATTTTTCCAGCCCAGCTGGTATGGCTCAGAGGTTGAGTGTTGATCTATACACCAGGAAGTCACGGTTCAATTCCAGGTCAGGGCATATGCTTGAGTTGTGGGCTTGATCCCCAGTGTGGGATGTGCAGGAGGCAGTCAATTGGTGATTCTCTCTCATCATTGATGTTTCTATCTCTCCCTCCCTCTCCCTTCCTCTCCAAAATCAATAAAAATATATTTAAAAATAATTTGTCCAAGACCCTTATTAAAGATAAAGAAAAAATATTAAATCTATAGTTCAGGAACCTGGCAGAGAACACTTGCACCGAATGAAAATAAAGTTCAAAGGAAGCGACATCAGGTGACTGAAGCACATAGAAGAACAGATTATCAATAACTTTAGTGTCCACATATACCTCCCACATTCTGTAAATCTAACAGTGCATTTAAAGAGTAAGGCTTTCAAGAAAATGGCAGCCAATTAGGCAAACCTGTGGTGCATCTCGTCCCAGGGCAAGACTGGAAATACAACTAAAATGGAGAATATTGAGGTTAAAAATGGCAGCAGAGTGAGTGGATGCTGCATGGACATGCTCCCAGGAACAAACTGGAATTACAACTGAAACACAAAAAAAACCCCTGAATAGTTAACAGAAGACTACCTGGAGAGAAACCTGATCCCCAAGGATGGAAAGTGGAGACCGCATAGATAGGTAGGAGGGGCTGAGGTGTGAAGGGGCTGACCAGGCACCCACTGAAAGCAGCCAAAGTCCTGGAGAGATATCTCAGCTATGGGGGGGGTGCCACTGAGGACTCTGGGAACTAATCCCCAAGCTGGGCCCCCCAGAAGAGAGCACCAGAACTGAGAAGGGTACCTACCCAAATAACATCCGGCTGTGAAAAGCAGGAGGGTTGCTGTCTGCCAGGGAGAGATGGCTGGAAAATCAGGCACCCTCTTAAAGGGCCAACACTCAAATTCCCTGTGCAGGCAGAGGGAGGGCAGAGTGGACTGGAGCTGTGTGAGCAGAAGCCAGGATTGGGGACTTGGAGGTTAGAGCTCAGAATGCAGACAGGAAACCTATGGTTTCCTGTGCGGAGTTATTCCCTCATGCAGCGGAGGACATTTTTCCCACACAGACATTAGCCTTACCTGGGGGGAAGACAGTTGACCCACCCTATTGGAAAACACTTTGTCCTGAGGTCACTTAAGAGATTAAAAATAACAAAGAGCCTCCAGGCAGAAGCAACTGCCCCACCCTGCTGAAAAAATCTCTCACCACACCTGAGGACAAGACAAGAGGAATCCTATCATTCTATAGGCAGAGGCATTCTCTGGAGGCTTTGAGTCTTTGCCTGACCTAATTAGTCAGAAACAGTGTTTGATACTATCCTGCATGAGAGATTGAGAGACGTAGAGGATCTACCTAATACACAGTCACAAATCCAAACAGGCAGCCAAAATGAGGAGACAAAGAAACAACCCCCAAATGAAAGAACAAAAGAATTTTCCAGCATAAGAGATAAATGAAGCAGAGGTAATAAATTTATCTGAAACAGAGGTAAGAGTAATGATGGTAAAGATGCTTAACAGTATGAGAAAAGATATAGTAACTATGAAAACAGAAATAAAGAATGATATAGCACAAATAAACACAATGGAATACAGAGCAGATTAGGGGAAGCTGAGGATCAAATCAGTGAATTAGAAGACAGGGTATAAAAAAAATTTACTCAATCAGAGAACTGAAAAGAAAAAACAATTAAAAAACAGGAGGACAGCTTAAGGGAGCTGTGGGACAACAAGAAACACAACAATATTAGAATAGCAGGTGTGCCAGGAAGGGCAGAAAAGAAGAAAAGGATAGAGAATGTGTTTGAAGAAATAATGGCAGAAAACTTCCCTAGCCTGGTAATGGAAAAAGGCACACAAGTTCAGGAGGCACAGAAAATCCCAAGCAAGAAGAACCCAAACAGGTCCACACCCAGACACATCATAATTAAAATGCCAAAAATTAAAGACAAAGAGAGACTCTTAAAGGCAGCAAGAGAAAAGCAAACTGTTACCTACAAAGGAGCTCCCATAAGGCTGACACTTGATTTCTCATTAGAATCTCTACAGGCCAGAAGGAAATGGCATGAAGTACTCAAGGTAATAGAAAGCAGGGCTCTGAAACTAAGATTACTATATCCAGCAAGGCTATCATTCAAAATAGATGGTCAAATAAAGAGCTTCCTGGACAAAAAAAAAGGCTAACAGAGTACATCACCACCAAATCGGCATTACAAGAAATGCTAAAGGGACTGCTGTAATGAAAAGAAATGGAGAAACCTAGGCATGCAGAATTAAAATGGCAATAAATAAGTACCTATCAATAAGAACTATAAATGTAAATGGATTGAGTGCTACTACAAAAAGGCATAGGGTAGCTGAATGGATACAAAAACATGACCCAACTATATGCTGTCTACAAGAGACCCACCTCAGAACAAAATACATACACAGGATGAGAGTGAAGGAATGGAAAAAAATTTTCCATGCAAATGAAAAAGAAAAAAAAAAGCTGGAGTAGCAATACTCATATACGACAAAACAGACTTTAAAATGAAGGCCATCACAAGAGACCACAAAGGTCACTATAAAAAGAAAGAACTCTTACCATTTACAGCAAATGGATGAACCTGGAGAGTATTATGCTAAGCAAAATAAGCCAGTCAGAGAAAGATAGTATCACATGATCTCACTCATATATGGAATCTAATGAACAAAATAAACTGATAAACAAAAAAGATCCAAAGACATAGAAGCACGGAACAGACTGACAAATTTCAGAAGGAAGGTAGGGCCAGGGAGGTGGGTGAGGAGTGATTAACTGGGGAACTTATATGCATATATGGACACAGAAAATAGTGGTGAAGGCCTGGGAGGGGCGGGTTCAGGGTGGAGGGGGTCAATGGGTAAAACAAACAAACCAACAAACAAACAAAGGAGACATCTGTAATACTTTCAACAATAAAGAGGAAAAATGAATTCTTAAAAAAAAAAAAAAAAAGTAAGGCTTTCTTATTAATGTAGTGAGCAAGTTTCTTCTAACGATTTTTCCTTTTCAGAACTTTCTGGGGCTACTAAGGCAATCCTGATTAAATATGCATTTTCTCAATCCTGTCCTCAAGATCACATATTGCAGCCACATAAATTTAAAACCTACATTTCCCTTCTACACAACCTATCTCAATAGAAACCTTGGATAGCAATGCCTTCCCATGTTGGTCTGTCACAAAGAAAATGTTTTCATAAGTTGACGGTGCAGGGGTTCAAAACAAGGCACCTTAAGATGTGCTTCAATGTCTAAGGATTATGTTGAACTAAAGGCACCAAGACCCTGTGGACTCAAGAGAAACTTCTGCTCTCCCTTTAAATAGCCAGAAGAATTTTAATTAGGAGCCTGACCCATGATACAGGTTAAAACCAAAAATGACTTTTTACCTATCTAGATGGTAGGCAAACTAATACTTCTGAACATGCGATCTCCGGTCAAAGATCTTCTGATGTCCCAAGGTGCATTAACTGATGCCAGGCTCAGAATGTCTCATATACCAAATTTCCCTTGCAGTCTCGGAACCTCTCTTGCATGTGGGGTCTCTGACTCTGTCCTGTGTGTGGAGCTCCCATACATGTCACATGTAACTGATTAGACCAGCTAAAAGAACATTTATGGTAGAAGAACGTATCTTCCTCCACAACAATGGTCATTAATTTATGGTGAGAGTTCTTCATTCCCTATAGGGAACCTGGATGGAAACAATAAAGAGAAGGTTGTGGGACATAAGAAAAAAGTATCCCTGAGACATATAGGGAAGTCATCACACCTCAGCTCCCTACTCAAAAATGCAGAGGTAGCTGACTTTATCTCCTTTCCAAATACCTGCTTCCCTGCAGATGTTGAAACTACTGATGCCCATGAGCAGTTGATCCGGGTTTGACTGCTACATGAACTTCCTGGGGTGGCTCTAGTGAACTACATTGCCATAGCTCCCCCATAATGCAGGCGCTAACAACCTGAAAACCCAGTTGGTAAAGGAAGTCAACCCACCCTGAAATGGAAAATTCCACAAGCAGGCCATCTTGAAAAAGCCCATTTTGTCCCAAGCTTATTAAAGCCAACAAGCAACCCTATGCGGTTTGGCTCAGTAGATAGAGCGTTGGTCTGGGAACTGAAGGGTCCCGGGTTCAATTCCGGTCAAGAGCACAAGCCCAGGTTGCGGGCTCATTCCGCAGTAGGGGGTGTGCAGGAGGCAGCAGATAAATGATTCTCTCTCATCATTGATATTTCTATCTCTCTCTCCCTCTCCCTTCTTCTCTGAAATCAATAAAAAATAAAAAAAGCCAAGCAGCACAAGTCCCTGAATTGGTTTAGAGAACATTCCTTTCTTCTGTGTTTTATCCCTTATCCTCAAACATAAGTCTAATAAAATTTGCCCAGAAATCTCTCTGCTTGATACTTTTTTAAAAAAAATATATTTTATTGATATTTTACAGAGAGGAAGGGAGAGGGATAGAGAGTTAGAAACATCGATGGGAGAGAAACATCAATCAGCTGCCTCCTGCACACCTCCCACTAGGGATGTGCCCGCAACCAAGGTACATGCCCTTGACCGGAATCGAACCTGGGACCTTTCAGTCCGCAGGCCGACGCTCTATCCACTGAGCCAAACCAGCTAGGGCATGCTTGATACTCTTGATTTCTGTATTCAGAAACCCCAAAACACCAAATGCCAGTAACATTTCAAAGAGGGAACTTGGACAATTATAAGAAGAAAAAAAAGTTAAGTAGTTGAAAACTAACTTGCTTTGCAAGATCATCAGAAATAGAGAGTAAAGATTTGCAGTTTCTAAATCCACCAACTTTAGAAAGAAATGCAAACACAGAACTGACCCAAGACAGGGCATTTACCTGAGGAGCAGCCATGTTGTCCTCTTCCTCCTCCTGCTCTGGGTTGTCTTCACGGGGGAACGTATGTTGATGAATCACACCTGTCTCTTGAGAATATGTCTTCCTTCCACAGTCATGGGCAGAAGGACCTTAAAATGTTGAAAAATGTCACACTCCGTCATCCTTTGTCACAGGAGAGATTCAGAAACAATGAGATCCTACATGAAGCTAAAACTGTGAGTTTTTTCTCTCCTGTTTACCCATGATATCCCCTGCCACAGACATGCACAAATTTCAACCCAGCAATGAGGATATGGGCTGTCCTCCTGCCCCCTCCATATCCTACAGAGTACCCTGTTATCTCCCTGGTTCTGAACTCTCACAAAAGTCTTGGGGCAAAGAGCCCTTCTGCTAAACACTGGCCTCACTTTTGAATCACCTGGAGCACACTAAAACAATGATGTTTCTCCCAGACCAGTTGTCCAACTCTGTGGGGGAGGGCACAGTAATGTTATTTCTTATCATCAAATGATCTAATGGGAGGAGACCATTTAGCTAAGCATTTCTTCTACAGTTTTAATGCATAGGCAGAACCCTTGGGAACCAAGGCCCCTTCTAAAAAGCTAAGATGCTGTAATCAGCAGTGAGGCCCATGAAATGGCATCTTTAACTAGTTCCTGCCAGAGGTAACATTGCTCCCCAAGATCTGTTTTCAGTAGCAGTGGGCTAGGGAGATACTAGACACAACACACCCGAGACCTGTGTAAGAAGCTGGGCTAGGAACTTCTAGAAGGGCAGGACCCCAGGGTGGATTCCTAGTGTTGGAGTTGTTCTGGAATGGGCATGACCAGGTTCTGGGATATTTTTGCAGGTGCAACAGGGAGAGGGAAACCACATGGTGGCAACAGGGTTGTGTGAGGTGCCTGCCTCAGAACCTTCACAAACTAACCTGAGTCCCCAGGAATTCGCCCCGTCCCCTACCATGGACCAAGTGGAACAACAGGAAAATCTTCTGCCTGACCCACTGCCCACAGGTGAGTGGAGTCTCAATCTCCAAAGGACAAGGAGAAGAAAGGCGTTAACATTACAGCTTTGTTTGAAAATGAACCAAAGGAGCATAACCTAGAAGTCTGTCAAGATATAACAGTATTCACAACCCACTCATTTTCACTTTCTCCAAATGACCCCCAAATACATACTGTTGTTCTTGTTACTATTTTAATATGGTAAGAACACTTCGAACAGGCTCTACCCTTTCTATAAAATTTTAAGTGCACAATATAATAGTGTTCATGACAGGCATAATGTTGTACCAAGGATCTCTGGAACTTATTCGTCTTCGAAAAATCAAAATGTGTAACCCTAAATAGCAACTCCCATTTCCAGTCTCCCTAGCCTCTGGCAACACTAATCTTTCCTCAAAAGTTTGTTCCTGTGGGTTTGACTATCTTGTGGGAATTCTAAACCTGGATTTATACAGGGTTAACACATTAAAAGTACTTACTATGACACATAAGTTTAAAAATCTATAAACTTAATAGTCATATGATTAAACTTAAAAGAAGGAAATAGGATTAAATTAATAAGAGAAAAAGCCCCCAAATCTGATGCAATCTAGCAAACACAATTGTTATGAAAGAAATAGAAAAGAAATTCCTAAAATACAACAGATTTCACTATAATAAATCCTCAGAGCAGCCCTGAATATTCATGGGGACGTTTATGCTTTTAACTGCGGGTAAGCAGGTAAATAGGTCCAAGTCATTATTTCTCATTAACATCGAGCCAGTTTATATCACCAGTGTTCTGGGGAAGAAAAAACTAGTACCTTTTCCCTCTATGCATATCTCTATGTCCAGATTTTTTCCCCAAAAATATATGTTTTAATGACCTTTTAGAGAGAGAGAGAGAAACATCAATGTGTGAGAAAAACATCCATGCATAGCCTCCAGCCAACAAACATGAAACTTGCATGTGTTCCCTGACCAGGAATCAAACTGGCGACCTTTCGGTGCACAGGCCAAAGCTGAAACAATGCCAGCCAGGTCCAGATTTCTGCTTTTCATGAGGACATATTCGAGGAGGGCCCACTATTAAAGCTCTTATTTTTTTAAAAAATATATTTTATTGATTTTTTACAGAGAGGAAGGGAGAGAGAGAGTTAGAAACATCAATCAGCCGCCTCCTGCACATCTCCTACTGGGGATGTGCCCGCAACCCAGGTACATGCCCTTGACCGGAATCGAACCTGGGACCTTTCAGTCTGCAGGCCGACGCTCTAGTCTATCCACTGAGCCAAACCGGTTTCTGCTAAAGTTCTTATTTTAAACTGATTATCTCTTTAAGGATCTTATCTTTTAAAAGGGTACTATTCCAAGGTACTGATTAAAGCTTCAAGCCCTGGCTGGTTTGGCTCAGTGAATAGAGCGTCAGCCTGTAGGCCTGAAGCTTCCCAGGCTCGATTCCTGTCAAGGGCACATGCCCAGGTTTCGGGCTCAATCCCCAGTAGGGGGTGTGCAGGAGGCAGCTGATCAGTGATTCTCAATCATTGATGTTTCTATCTCTCTCTCCCTCTCCCTTCCTCTCTGAAATCAATAAAAACATATTTTAAAAAAACAAACTTCAATATCCCTACCTGGCTAAGCTCTCAGTTTTGTTTCTGCCTCTGCTGTGTCATCCCTTCCTCCCTTTCCATTCCTACACTGGTCTCACCCAACTCGTTTTCTCCTGACTCCATCTGGATAGGGAGACTTATAATCTGATAGAGCACCTGAGTTAATCTGAAAAGTAATCATATCATTTTAAATCTTAGAACACGTATACTTATGTGAATAGGGGGTTAAGTTTTTCTTAAACTCCTTTGCAAGTGATTAAGGAGGTGACTCAGCTGTGAATCCAGCAAGCAGAACCAATAAGCAGGGTCAGACTGACCCACCAGGAGTCAAAGCATCGTCTCATCAACATCATCTCACCCTCTGATGACAATAGCTGATGTCTGGGGACCTCCAGGGCTACCCGTAGCAGCATCCCTTCCCAGCCTCCCCCTCGCCCCTTCCCCTTTATAACCCTATCCCCTGCACCGTGCTGGAAGACAGGATTTGAAGGCTTGTACTAGTAAGCGCCCAGTCTTCTTGGTTGGCTGGCCTTCTCAATAAACGCCTAATAGGATTCAACCCTGCCCTCCATACTGGCAGCCCGAGCCCAACCAGGGGTTTCCCTCTAACAATCTGAAGTGACTTCCCCTTTGTGGCCCCCACTTCTGCTAACGAGGACTCCTCTCCCTTTCTGCTCCCCTTCAAGTGTTTGGACTTCTCCCATTCCTCCATGGGTCTGTTTTCTTTCTCCATTTGCTACTTTCCCGAGTTCCTCTATCACACTTCCCATTGCTTTACAAGACCCTCCTGCATCCTCAACTTCGCCATCTCTCTATAGACCCCTCACTGACCGTTCTGCCCTCTCACTACTTGATTTCTTTCTCATCATCTTTCTCATAATCCTCCTCTCCCTGAATTAGGCCTCTTCCTGGCCTCCCCTGGGAAGGCACTGCTTCCTAGTAATAGGGCAGGGAAATTCCTTGACAAGTGGAAAAAGGGAAACTGAGACAAAATCATCACACAAGGCCAACACTTTGAGGAAGGAACTCACAGCCAGCTAATAGGGTCACCAGGCTTTATCTTCCCTAACCCAGGACATTTAGGGGCAAATGACTTGCACATGCCGGACTGTCCCAGGGCCCTCACTCCTTGGTCCCAGTCCACCTTGAATGACATTCATGAAAACAAAACTAACCAGAAAAGAACCCTGGTCCCTTTTACCCACATTTTGATGAATCGGCGTTATGAAAGGGCACATCGGAAAAGCTAATGGCTGTTCGGTAAAGACCCTCCCCTGAGACCTCCCCTAGGTCCAGCCGGCCAAGGACGGATTTTAAACAGAGCCTCAAGGCAAGGGATCCAGGAAAGCGGGGGAACGCCCCTCCCACACCCACACCCACACCTTTCCCTTCCCTGACTTCCTCCTCCACAGGCAGCACCTCCTAAAAGCCGAGGGGCCACAGGAGACTTGCATGCAGGGAAGCGGGGCAGCAGCAGCTCGTCTGAGGTTCACCCCCTGAACCCGGGTCCGGGGCCGCCTTCCTGCCCGACTTCTGTCCCTGACCTCCATCTCTCAGAGCCAACGCAGCCGGCTGAGGTCCTCCCCTGTGGCCTCCCTCACCCCAAGCCCTCCTTTCATCGCACTGTCCCAGCTTTAATAAACACACTCGCAAAGCCACCGGGCTCCTGCGGTGAAGTCTTCCTACCCGAAGCCAAGAACCCACACACCACCCGTGGCCCAGACCCCGACGGGTAACACTGCGACACCCAGTGCTGTTCTAGCCCAAATCCCGTCTCACGGAAACCTGTGCCCTTCCTTGGCATCTGGCCTTTTAGATACTAAATGCAGAGTTGGGGGGGGGGGGGGGGGAGTCTCTGGAAAGGAGGGGATTGCAGAATCCCAGGCCAGGGAGGAATCCGGGCCTTAACTGGCCTGGAGAGTCCGAGGCTGAAGGAGGGCGCAGAGGGTTTGAGTCCATCTCCCTGGACTTTAAATGGCCTGGGGTGGGAAGGCTCTCCAGTGGAAGGTTTGAGGCAAGAAAACCATCCGAGGCAGGCGCTGTGCAGTGGCCCCAAAGAGGAAAATGCAGAGGCAGGGCGGATGCAGAAAGAATTTAACCAGAAACTAACGCGGAAACCTCAGCGCAAAGGCAGAGCCCTCAGGGCTCCAACCTCTTACGGGGACGCGAGACTCACCGCCTTGGAGACGCGGGTGTGGGGGCTTTAAGGTCCGCCGCGACCCCCGGATTCACCTGTACAGGACCGTGGGCGGAGATGCTGGGTTTAAATGAGAAAGACCAACAATCCCAGTTACCTTCCCTCCGCCTTAGTCGCTTCCGGGTTTACAAACAACTGCGCGTGCGCGCCG